TCGGAGCCTCGGAGGAGGCCTGGTATGCTAGAAATGCAAATGAGCCCCGTTTTCCAGCAAGTCAGGCTGCACAAGACCGCTGCTGCGCATACTGATGGATCACGTCACCTCTCAGCAGTCAGCACGGGTCTGGAATTGGATTAAAATAGTATATGCAGATTTTTTTTAATAAAGGAATATAACATTTTGGCTTCCATTATTCGTAAATGATTAAGTGTGTAGCCGTTTATAACAAACTCACGGTGCTTATACCATACTTCAGCATACGGTGATACTCCGAGAGTCTTTCTAAAATTTACTCTCTAGATCCTCATTTAGACATTCATTCGAGTAAAAATCGTTTTCTATATCTTTGTACCCTCTAACAATTTTTCTATATTCTGTGCGCACTCTAGAGAGCCATCCTCGCTCTTCATCTTTGGCTAGTGAGAAATTCAGAATATATAATGTCTATGTTTAGATATCCAATTAAAGAGAGTGTTGAAGGATATTTTTTTACTAAAATTTCTATTCCTATAAATTAGAAAGGATATAAAGAGCCTCTTAAGTTTCTCTAAGTTAAGGTAGAAAAGAAAGGAACGAGACTTAAATCCCTGTCCTAATCCGCCTTTGTCATCCAAACTTGCTACACATTTTCAAACATTATGGCCAGCAAGCGAATCTCTTCCCTAGCAAGACAACACGTAAATATCTTGCACAAGTTTGAAGCTTGACTGTACAAGAGGTTGGGGTTGCATAAACCCGCCGACGTCGCCCGCTTGAAAATCCAAGTAAAGTTTACACCTGAAGATTAGTGGGTAGGAGGGCTATGGAGTGCCATGACAACACCTAGGAGAGGAGCCAAAACTGAGACAAGGGAGAGGTGCTAAGTAGATTGTCGACCTTGGCATGATCGAATACATGTTAAAAATCAGGTATAGATGGAGCTACATTAAACAACAAAAGCAGCATATATAGAAAGTTTTGTGCTTTGGGCCGGTGCTGCAGCCCCGGGCACCATCATGTCTTTGCCCCTGACAACACCTCCAAGAAGAGAAACGAAGGGTGTCACAGTTGTCGAGACCGATAGGTAACTATTGAGGCTTTCGCTAGCACCTCCACTGTAACCACCAACTACCCACACGCATAAGCACTCCACCACCAATACCTCAGTAGTTCCTGTACCTCATGGGAGGCCATGGTGTAGCCACTCTAGAGCACCACGATGAGTCGTTGTACACAATGCCCGCCACTAGAGAAGCCATCGTGTGATGCCTATGCACCATGCACCACCGAGCGGATCTTGGCTCAAGAACCTTGGATCTGGCGGCCCCAAGATTGGCTCCATCTTCGTCCAAACCACACGACACAGATGGGGGAGTGTGGTAAATCCAACCATCAAGGCGCCGGATCCCGCACCAACCGACCACGAATGACATGAGTCGGAGTCACTCCAGCAGCACCTCCCACGCGAATAAATCGGCATAGGATGGCATGAGGGGCACAAAACCTTCACAACTGCCTCCGAAGAGTTGATGTCATAAGCCCACAAGAAGATGTGAATCACTCGCAACACTTAGGCCCCGTTTGGTGGGGCTTCAGCTCTTTCTAAAAGGGCTCCGGCTTTGGCTCCTCGTGTGGAGCAGTTTCTCTGGTGGAGCTACAACCGTTTGGAAAATATTTGGCAAAAATGGCTCCAGAGGTAGCTTTGTAATAATTTGTAGTAGGTTTGTGAGGAGCCAGAAGAAGTCATTTTTTTACTCCAGCTTCTCTATAAAAAAAAAACGGCTCCAGCTCTTCTAGGCTAGGAGCCATTTTTAATGCTTGTTTGGCTAGGAGGAGTTGGAAGAAGCTAAAGCCGAAGCCCTGCCAAACGGGCCTTTTTTGTCCTTTTCATGGCACACAGTCACTCCACATGATCTGGGAGTATTGGATTTGGACATGGTGGTGCCGAATACGACAATACTGAAGAATAAATATGTGTATAATTAAAAATAAAATCTAGAAGTTAAAGGTTGGTGGATTTAAGAGCACAAGTAGCATCACCCTCTCTCGCCAGTTTAGGCACACTAAGGCCCCTGTTTGTTTCAGCTTCTTGAGAGCTTTTGGACTTAGCTTTGGGACAGCTTTTGCCTTATGGGAGCTTTGTGGCTTTTGGAAGGTTCCAAAGCTGAGTCCAAAAGCTTCCAGAAAGCCCAAACAGGCCCTAACAGTCTAACACTCACGTAACCTTGGAACCACTGCACATGAAGTGGTAGCATTGGTTTTTGACACGTTGGTGCCGAATACAACAGTACTGAAGTATTAAAAATGTGTATAAAAATAAAATCTAGAAGTTAAAGGTTGGTGGATTTGAGAGCACAAGCAGCATCCCTATGCCTGGCTAGTTTAGGCACACTAACAGTCTAACACTCACGTAATTTTTTATCTATGCACATGTGTGACACATGTATCTATGATAATTTTTTTATAAAAGAAAATAAAGGAACAACGCTAATGGAGCATATGCAACCGTAATTATAATAATTGTATAAATTTTGTGTCCCACAAGTTATAATGGTAAAATCCGTTAAGAACCGATCAAAAGCCTGTGATCTTCTCCCACAGATCAACAAGAAGACATGGATCAATGACCATGACGAATCATGTAAATCACTGACGACAAGGCACGCATCCTTTGGGAAATAGGCTCAACTGCCCTCCTTGCCAAGGTGACGTTTCAATGTTTCATTGTGCATTCAAACCCGAGATCAATCAATGGAAAACGCAACTCCACCTTTATGCTTGTTCTCTTTACTAATTAATTACTAGTAGAAACAAAGAAATCAATCCTTTTTCCGACACACAAAGACGAAGAAAGCACGGGAGGTTCCATGTAAGGGCCTGTTTGTCCGGGTTCTCCCTAGCTTCGGCTCCCGCACTATAGTGCATTGTAGCGCGGAGCCGGGAGAGCCCAGAAATGCAGCTCCGCTTGTTCCTTCTATTCCCTAGACACAGCTAAGGAGGAGCGGGAGACCCTTTTTTGAAGCTACAGTAGCGCACAGTCCTGCAGAGTTTAGGAGGAGCCGGAGCCGCTGGGCAAGGAGGCCTGCCAAAGACGCACTAAATCTTGGGCTCCTTTTCCTAAACAGTCCACTATTTAGGACATGCTCACAAGAAAGAGGTAAAATTTGTTCAAAATTTGGTGCTTACCGCTCCTATAACAAAGGATTCTAGAATGGTAAGGCTAGCGCTAGGACGTCCGGCCTCAGGCCTACGTCTAGATGCAGCTCCCGCGCCCTCGTGCCCGCATCGCATCCCACGCTCTCCGTCCCATTCCCAACCAGCGCCAACGGCTGGAACCGCAGCCCGCGCCCCACACGGCAGAACCGGGCCCTCGCGTCCGCATGGCGGAACCGCAACCCGTGCCCACCTGCTCCGCTTGTGGAGGTGTCTGCATGCCTCAGGCGCAGCCCGTGAACCACGACGGTGCGCCAACAGCAAGCAGGAGGACAACGGCATGTAATACAAGATCAACTTTTAAAACATCCAGATGAAACATTTATAACATACGTCTGAAAACAGATGAAACAATTGAAATATGCGTTTGAAACATGTGTGTATATCCATTGCAACTTGTGCAACACCAGATCAACTTTTGAAACATCCAGATGAAACATTTTAAACAAACATCTGAAACACTTGAAACATACACTTGCAACATGCATATATTGCCATTGCAATATATGCAATATCCCAGATCCACTTTTGCAACATTTAGATAAAAACACTTGAAACATAAGTTGGAAACACCTGAAACACTTCAAACACGGCGTCGCCGGCAGCCATGGCCTACTTGGTGGGGGACTGCGATAACCAACAAGCTTAGGTCCAGAGGGAACGTCGAAAACAAACAGCCCAGCGTACGCAGGCCTCCCTTTCCTGCCGTGGAAGACGAAGTCCGGAATGTCGGTGACCTCCTCCTGGTGGCGCCGGGGTGGTGGTGGCATGGTGCCCGCCATGGCCACGACGGGTGAGGTGGATGGGGGCGTGCCGGTGGATATGGGCGATGCGCAGGATGGTGGCGCGGCGCGGCCGGCGATGGGGTGCGGCACGGCAGGGGGAAGGGGCGTTGCGTGCGTGGGGGACAGTCGTACAGTGGGGAAAGGGGACGGTGCGATGGCGGATGCGCGGTGATGCCCCGACAACCAGATGCAAGTGCGTTAGGGAAAAGCATGCCTGTTGGGCTGTCCGCTGCGCAGTTCACGAAGACGGCGTCCGGATTGGTGGTGTAGACGCCCGTGGAGTACTATAGTGATGCTAAAAAAGCTCCAAGAGGGGAAAAAAGGTGCATACGGTTGACACTTGACAGTGATCCGCCAACCCTAGCCAAGCCTGAACATTTCTTCTTTGCAAGAGATCGCCATCTCGTTGGTCGGCCAGAAATGAGCTCGACAGGTTGTCAGCCAGCGAGAAGAGATATCCAGCCTGTTCGTTTGGTCATGTTTAGCTTATAAGCCATGACTTATCAGCCAATAAATAGTATTTCTTTTTCACACCAAATCAGCCAATTATACTTTCACCCCATGGCTTATTAGCGAAATAACCGCAAACGAACAGGGGATCAGATATCTGATCTCCTCTGGCTCCGGTGCGGTGAGGACCCCATCCCCGCCGGCGGACAAAAGCTGCATGGGCCCACCCCCGCCGCCCGGCACAGGAAGAGGGCCCACACGTCATCCAATCTGACCACAGCATCTCACGTGTCCGCCCACCGCGCTATATCACCAAAACTTTTTTTTTTCCCTCGGAAGAGAAAAGGAGATTCCTCTCCCAGTCTCCCCCTCCCTCCCCTTCCCCGGTTCCCCCTCCCCCATCGTCGAAACCCTAGCCCCGTCTCGCCGCCGGCGGTGGTGGCAGCCTCAGCACCGGCACACAGCCCGCCGTACCACTCCTCGCACGCTCCCTCCCGGTTCCGTCGCCCCCCGACCTACCGATCGGTCGTCGGCTAGGTAGCCGCCGGATCCGGATCGGCCGGCGACATGTCGAAGGCTAGGGTCTACGCCGAAGTCAACGTGCTGCGCCCCAAGGAGTACTGGGACTACGAGGCGCTCACCGTTCAATGGGGGTATGTCCTCTCCTCCCCTCCCTCGCTAGCTCGCGAGCTCTCCTCTCGCGTCCTCCGCACCTCGCGCGCGTAACCCTAGCTCAAGCATCGGTTTCGCCGTGGTAAGAGCGTGTCCGTATGGCGAATGGTTTGGTCTCTTCGTAAGGCTGGGCTCGGTAATCGGTATATTGTTCAGGTGGGACTCCAAGATTGATTGTCCCCGTGCTTAGCTTGGATTGGGTAGTGTCGTTTGTTTGGTGCACATGTTCTGTAATTTTGTTGGGTAACTGGCATGGTTATGAGCTAGTAGTTAGTTAGGCTGCTCTCCCTGATGATTCTCCTGCCAATCCTGCCGTTTTATGATACTTTGATGTCACCATCCTTCCACCGATTATTATGACTCGAAGCTTTAGTTATGAGCTACAAGGCATTTAAGAGCGATTCAGTGGAAGCTTCGTCACATGCTTGTGTTCTGAATGTATTGATTTCCTCATTTATTTCATCGGGAAGCCGAGTTAGTTTGTTGATTTTGTGTGACGGCATTTTCCTTAGTTTCGTATTTTGTCGATTGAGTTGGCTGGTATTGAATTTGTAAACCGTTGTTTGGGTTTGCAGTCAAGTTTTGCTATTAGTAACATAGTTCCCGAACCATTTATGGTTATTAACGTTCTCAATCTTGTTTGGTCGGTTTGTAAGGTTGGGCTCGGTATAGTGTTCAGGTGGAGTTGCAAGATGTTACTGTCCCCATGCTTAGCTTGATTGGGTAGTGTCATTTGTTTGGTGCACATGTTCCATAATTTTGTTGAGCAACTGGTTGGCCATGAGCTAGTTAGTTAGGCTGCTCCCCCTGATAACATAAATGCTCATTAATTACTCCTGCTAATCCTTCTGTTTTGTGCTACCTCGATGTCACCATTCGGCCACTGATTATTAGGACTTGTAGTGGTAATTATGAGCAAAGAAGTATTTGAGAGCAATTTAATGGAAGCTTCGTCACATGCTTATGTTCTGAATGTATTGCTTTCCTCATTTGCCTTCATCGAGAAGCTGAGTTAGTTTAGTGATTTTGCGAGACGGCATTTTCCTTAACTTAGTTTCTCAGTTTTGTCGATTGATTTGGCAGGAATTGAATTTGTAACATGTTTGGAGTGGTAGTCGATTTCTGTTGTTATTAACTTTGTTCTGGAGCGATATATGGTTATGTCCTATGAGTTATCGAGTCTAATGATTCATTGTAGTCTTAAATGTGAAACAACAATTCAAGGCAACTATGTCTATCCCGCCAATCTACAACTCTTTCTCGGCTCCAGTCAACCACTCAGTAGAGCTACGTGCAATAAATAAAACCCAGTTGATGCATGGAATCTACTGCAATACCCATGGTTTCTAGATTACAACATGTGCTTAGCTATAGCTAAAAGTTGATTTAAGATTGTAATCAACATGATATTTACAATGTCCACAGAGCTTCGCTGTTGTCTACTTGTCTGTTGTATCAATGCAATTGGTCATTGAGCGTGGCCTGATTTATCATTGCTTTGATATTCATGCGTACTTAACAGAATTGGAGTCTGAAATAGCTATATGTAGAATAGGCGTGGGGGTATGCCAAATATGCAAGGAAATATCACACTTAGATGTCAAGTACTGGTGTTTTCTCTTCTCTCTGCATCTTCCAAGTCCCAGATGCGGAAGATAAACCCTGTGCCCAAAGAAACTAAACGATTTTGTTTTGTCACATAGTTTTTTAGCGCTTTGGGCATTTATGCCTCATAATGATAGCTCTATTTTCGCCCTGCAGTTTTCTTCTTTAAATCATTTTGTTATTACTCGTAGTCCTTTGGACAGCCATGCTGTGACTGACAACTTTAAATCTTTCTCTCTTACTATTGTGCAGTTATATTTTCCCAACCCATTAAATTTTGGATTTCTGACAAGTACCATATCTTTTTGATCAGTGAGCAGGATGACTATGAAGTTGTTAGGAAAGTTGGGAGAGGAAAATACAGTGAAGTCTTTGAGGGTATTAATGTTAACAATAATGAGAAATGCATCATTAAAATCCTCAAGCCTGTGAAGAAAAAGAAGGTAGACCATGAATCCTATTGCCTGCAATTTGTAACTTGTTATCCCCTGAATCTAAGCGATGACAGGCTACTGTTTTCATTCTGCACCTGTTTAAATTTCATAATTTCAGTGACAATTTTCATCTCATTTTTAACCTACGCCTCTCGTGCTGGTGCAGATCAAAAGAGAAATTAAAATTCTTCAGAATCTTTGTGGAGGCCCTAACATTGTGAAGCTCCTTGATATTGTTAGAGATCAGCATTCAAAAACACCCAGTTTGATCTTTGAGTATGTCAATAACACAGATTTCAAAGTGTTGTACCCAACACTAACAGATTATGACATTCGATATTACATCTACGAGTTACTCAAGGTAAATTCTCATCTTGTTATTTCTGTGTTAGTATCTAGAATATTTTCTTCTTTAAAGAAGTCTTGGTAACCCAACTTGCTTTGGACTAAAAAGGCTTGGCTGTTGCTGTTGAAATCTTGGCAATTTCAAATCATTGGTATCTATCAATTTTTAAGTTTTGATGTCCAAATAGGTTTCTGTCTGTGCATTTTGAAGGCATGTTATATGCTTGCAAGGAAATGATTACTCCTGCTCATATGTAACTAATGACCACACCAAGTTACTGCTGATCCAGTCATCAACTAATTATCAGGGAATTTGACTATGATTGCCTAACTGTTTCTGTTTTCTGGATACAGGCATTAGATTACTGCCATTCACAAGGTATTATGCACCGAGATGTGAAGCCCCACAATGTTATGATAGATCACGAGCTTCGGAAACTCCGGCTGATAGACTGGGGCCTTGCTGAATTCTATCATCCTGGCAAGGAATATAATGTCCGTGTTGCCTCCAGGTAGCTGCAGATATATACTATAAACTTTCATTGTTGGTTCACGGTTAATGACCTTTGAAGTGGTAGTTAGTGAAACTACTATTTATTTTGTTTCTGCTTCTGCCCTTATTTTGAATCCAAATTTCAGTTGATTTGAACTCACATTTGTGACTTGTGGTTTGTTCCTGTAGCTTGTTTATTCAGCAACCATACAAATAAAGAGCATTCTGATAAATGGTATTTATATTTTAACTGCACTATAGCCTTCTGTTGTCACATATTAAGTTGCCAGAATGAATGAATGCTTTTTCTACAGTGAATCATATGGCTTACTTGACATGTCTCTAGAGCATAAATTTCCATGTTTTCTCTGTGGCAGCCCTCAGCCCCTCACTATTTTCTTTTTCAACATTTTTTCAACTGGAATTCAGGTACTTCAAGGGGCCTGAGCTTCTTGTTGACTTGCAAGATTATGATTACTCTTTGGACATGTGGAGTCTGGGCTGCATGTTTGCTGGAATGGTATTTACCCACATGACTATTCTACCTATTGCTGCCATATCCTCCTTTAGTATTTATGATGATTTCCTTATAGACAACCAATATTAATTTGTTGATCATATGATGCTGATTGCAGATTTTTCGTAAGGAACCATTTTTCTACGGCCATGACAACCATGATCAACTTGTTAAGATAGCCAAGGTTGATATTCAGTCTATTTGTTCTTTGCAATGAACTAATCAACTAGCTATGTTGCTTACATTTCCTATGTCATGTAGCAGAGATTTCATTTTTATCTACTGCAACTGCAATCTGCTTAATTTAGTTATTTTCTCTTTAGTAAGAACTTGCATATGTACGTGATGCTATGTTGTTGGTTATATCTGCTGTACTTGATGCTATGTTGTTAGCTCTATCTGCTGTACTTGATGCTATGTTGTTGGCTACATATGCTGTTATACTGTGCATGGCATGAGACCATTTAGGTTTGTTAAATGCCTCTCTGCTAATTATTGCTACATCCATTTATTATCAGGTACTTGGAACAGATGGGCTGAATGCTTATTTGAACAAGTACAGAATTGAGCTTGACCCTCAGCTGGAAGCCCTTGTTGGAAGGTAGAGTATGCCGCTGCTCACCAGACTTTTGATGGAAAATATGTAATCATTTATGTGGATTGCATTTACACTCTTCTTTTTTTGCCTTTTTGGGATGCAGGCATAGCAGGAAACCCTGGTCAAAGTTTATTAATGCAGATAACCAACACCTAGTGTCTCCTGAGGTGTTTGCTAATGCCCTTGCATTTTAAATAGATCTAACTCATTTGATAGTGCTTAACTCTAACAGGATTCCTTTGTTTATATCTGTAGGCCATAGATTTCCTCGACAAGCTTTTGCGTTATGATCATCAGGACAGGCTTACTGCACGTGAAGCTATGGTAAGTTTCCCTGTGCTAATTTTGGTGACATGTAATTTGACACACAAATGGCTGCTCATTATTGCTAAATATTTGGTGTAAAGTATTCATTTTACTAGTGCATATCTCCATCTCTGAACAAAAGAACTCTGGTCTTCACCATATCCTGATTGATGTGCATGCTGTTTTGGTGATTGATGCGCATCAATGCATGCTGTTTTGCTTAAGCGCGTTTCAGAACTAGAGTTTTATTCATGTTGAAAGGTTTTAGCCCATACTTACTTGGAGGTGTAGATTGCGATGCCTTGTCTTATTCTCTTATAATAATGGATGCTTTTATATTCTTGCAGGCACACCCATACTTCCAACAAGTGAGAGCTGCAGAGAACAGCAGGACACGAGCATGACAGGCAAGTGCAAAGACTGGTGCTAACCGTTGATCAGATCAGCTGCTCTTGATGGAGCCATGCTCTTATCAGTGACTTGCTTCAGTCAGATGTATGAGATGAATAGTGGTTGGGGGTTTACTTGGCAAAAAATAAAAAATAGCTATAGAGCCTGTTATACCCATGTACCAAGGTCGAGAATAGACTGAATTATTCAGGTTGTGAGCTTTGGGACGTGATTGTGAACAATGATTATTCATGTAAGATGTTTGTCATAAAAGGTTGTCTGTTGTCTGATTGTACTGTTGTATTGTTGAGCTTGTAAAGAATATCCCATCCTTTGTTTGGAATCCGTCAAGTTCTTGAGGGCTATTTTCTCGTATTATCTTTGGAAACATCGTGTTTGAGGTTTCCTTCTAACCCTAGGAAGGTTGAGACGAGAAAATGAAGATGCCTTCCAAAGTTTGGCTTCACTGAACTGAGTTGTGATTTGTCTGAATGCCTGTGACATACTGCAACCTTACAAATACAGTTTGGATTTATGCATGCTAAAATGGAGAGCCCAAGAATCCATGATTGTTGTACATCAAACCCTAGGAAGGTTTTTTTCTTCTTCGACTAAACCCTAGGAAGGTTGAGACGAGAAAAAGAAGATAAAAAAGGGCGGACCTAGTGCCAAAGGCTTCCACATGAGTGGGGTCTGGGGAAGAAAAAACCCGAGGCTAAGCTTTTTCTCCGTAAAATCTGCGGAGAGGTTGCTTCGAACCCGCGAAAATTTGGCTTCACTAAACTTGTGAGTTGTAACTTGTCTGAATGCCTGTGACATACTGCAACCTTACAAATACAGTCTGGATTTATGCATGCTAAAATGGAGAGCCCAAGAATCCATGATTGTTGTACATCAAACCCTAGGAAGGTTGAGATGAGAATTAAATACAGCCTTGTTTTTTTTTCAGCCGGAACAGTGTTTTTCTCTCACAACAAATCAGCCAGAACAGTGTTTCAACTTGTTTTTTCAGCGAAGCGAACGGGGCCACAAACACAAGCCGGAGTTACATGCCACAATTCCGACGGGTGTGTATCTGTGACTTTGTTTGGCTAACAAATGTGTGACCTTATTACAAGATCTACTAGCAAAGGTAAAAGCAAACTCCATAGAGGCAAGCCTAAACTCATTTATCTCGGAGAGGATCGGTGCATTTATCTCGGAGAGGATCGGTGCAATGATAGACCGCTGCGTCTCCCGCTTTTCCCATAACTGAATGAGCTCCAAACAATCAGTTTCAAAATGAATTTGGCTTCACTGAACTTGTAAGTTGTGACTTGTCTGAATGCCTGTGACATACTACAAGGGGCCTCTTGACGTTTCTCCCATTTATTTCCATACATTTCGCACACTCCTTTCTTAATAAAATGACACGTAGTTCTAAGTTCGAGAAAAAAAAAACACAGATAATTGGCGCCCTGTAAGCTCCCAAATTCACACCTAAGAACACAGGGAAAAGGAAAAAAAAAAGAGATAAATGGCAGTTCTACGTTGTTCGAGGAAGAAAAAACAGAGATAAATGGCTCCATGTAAGGTCCCAAATTCACACTTAAGAACACATGGAAAAGAAAGAAAAAACAGAGATAAATGGCTCCCTGTAAGGTCCCAGATTCACACCAAAGAACACAGGGAAAAGAAAATACTGAGCAAGCACAGGCAGGCATCACAAATCCACACAGAATTAATGTTTTTAGCACAACAGGCTGACAGCGATTACATTACATATTTAGATGCGGCAACACAACCGAAAGCAACTGCAGCAGCAGCTGAGACCCATTGACACAAAGTATATGGCAACCAGTCACTGATGAAGACGACAGTACTTGGTGGATGATGACAGTTTTCTCTTTGTTGAGCGAGCATATGCCCCTTGTCTGAGGCATATGCTGCTGCTGCTTACTAATTCTTGAGGTGGGGGAAGCACTGGTAGAGGTCGTTCTTGGGATGCCTTGCCTCAGCATGCTCTTTGCACTTGGCCTCGGAGGTGGTGCAGATGAAAGTCTGCATGCAGATCTTGCACTGCGTTCAGATGGAAGCATGGTTAGTACATTTGGAAATTGGATGCAAGCATTGTTCAGATGACCAACTGACAACTGAAATACCAGAAGACAAACATTGCTAGGGTGTAAATGAATTTTTCACCCCAACAAAAATCTGGGTACATACATTTGGCCAATGAGAGAAATGACAGCTATTAAGGCGTAGTAATTTGCACAGCTGGTAGCACCACAATGTTGTCAAGAAAGAGGTACCACTACCACCAGAACAGAGAAGCAAAAAAAGGTTTCAGCAGTGATTCTCTTCTCTCTCCAGAGTCCGGACTGATGGAGCACAAGGGCACGATTTTCGCTTTCCCGTTACGCTATGGGAGCTAATCGAAGTTGGGCTAGAACAGCTGGTGCGGGGTGTTTGCTGATGTTCCTGAACAAGAGTGCCACACTAGCCCATTGATTAGACTTGTCGTCGCTAAATTTAAGAAAAAATGAGGCGTGATGGTGGTTTAAGTTGGACAATTGTAGCGATGAGGCTGTATCCTCTCCTAATCACTGCGCTGCAGGTGCAGCAGCAGCCAATTTGAACCCACTGTTAGGAGATCTAGTATGAACTGCAAGCAAGAGGAAGTAATGGAGTTGGGAGGAAAAGGAAGCGGCAGGCGGCCTGCAAGTAAAAGTGTGGGTGCACAGAGCTGAATTCGGTGACAGACAGATCGGGGACGCGGAGAAGCAAGAGGGGAGGGAGGGGGGAAGGCACGCATACGCACCTGGATGTTCATGGCCTTCTTGTTGGCCTCCAGCTGGCTGCCTGCAAGTAAGTACGGAGAGGAAATCGATGGAATCAGACGAGACGGCGAGCAAGGAAGGACAGGCAGGGAGGGGGAATCGGGGCGGGGCGATTGAAGAGATGGATGGATACACGTGCCTTTGGCGCCCTTGTTCTTCTCGGCGTTCCTCTCCCGCGCCATCTTGGACTTCTGGCCGTTGCCGCCGCCCATGGCTGAAGCTCAAGCCCTGCAAGAGAAGGAGAAGAAAGAGGGACAAGAGCCGCTGAGTCGGGTGTGCGAGTGCGGGTGGTTGGTTGGGTGCGGACGGACGCCAACGCGTTTATTCAAGTCCTCCGTCCCTTACATTTTCATTTCAAAATAAAAAAAAGTTTTCCATTAGTTCCCCTTTTTCCTCAGATTATTTATTATTATATTAAGTTAAAAAGGGTTTTGAATACTCCATCTATCCCAAATTATAAGTCATTCTAAAAATCTTGGAGAGTCAAAGTGTCTCAAATTTGACCAATATTATAGAAAAAATTACAAAGATTTATGACATCAAATATATATACTATAAAAATATAATTAATAAATAACTTAATGGTACTTAGTTGATATCATAAATATTATTATGTTATTATATAAATTTGGTTAAACTTAAGATGCTTTGACTCTTTAAGATTCTTCGAATGACTTATAATTTGGGATAGAGACAGTATGACTAAGTTTTTATATATATATATAAAAAAAAGCAAAAATTCATACTGCCAGATAAGTATTATTCGATTAATGTTATATAGGGAGGAAATCTAAATGTTAATACTACTATTTCGCATAAACTTAGTTCATCAATTTAAAAGGTTTGGCACGGTTTATAAGATTCTATAATTGTACGTACTTCTTTTTTCTTTGGATTGGATGTACATACATCCATCTACAATACAATGGGAAAAAAAAAGGAAATGAGAAGGGAGGCGGGGGCAGGTCGGCGTTGGGCGTTGCTGACCGACCCGCCGTGCGGTGTGCCGTGCCGTGGGATCGCCGGATCGGGAATGGATTCCGCGCTTCGGCGCGACGCAAACGCAGCCGGCCAGGATTGACCGCTTCACCCAAGTCATAACAAATGCGGCCCACGGATCTCTCTCTCTGCCGGGCCCATCCACCATCGGCCACGCGTCCTGTCCACGTTTTCCCACGCCAGGGGCCACGTTGACAGCGTAGCAGTCCACTCACCGTCCACTTGGACCTGTTTGGCAGAGCTCCTGCGGGCTCCGGCTCCCGTCTCCCGCCCCTATCGGCCTCCCACGGGTCGACAGGGAGCGGGAGCCGTTTTTCTCTCTCCTCTTTACTCCTCTCACAAACCCAGGCGGAGCCGGCGGAGCTCGTTTTTCGGGCTCCACGGCTCCGGCTCCGCCTGGCACACTAACACTTTGTCTCTTTTTTTTGCAGGTTGTATCATTTAACAATTTTACACTTTTATAATACACAATTAGTCGAGACTTACTAATTCAGGCTAACCTTCACAGGAAACTAATCCTTTTTACAATTAATACCACAAACCATACTTATACCTATGCAGGTCCTTGAATGGCAGCCTTCGCTAGCCTTCCGAAACTATGATCCTCTCATTTGAGGGCATTATTCTTTATGTGCAGAGTTTACCTTCTACACAAGCACAACCATCATTTTTGCACGGTCCACGATATATTTAACCATTTTATTATGTTTATGCAAATGCATTCATCTACATCATTACACACACACATTACATAATGCATCACGTTCCATGGCCTGAGCCAAAACAAAGTAGGCTAAGGCTCCAAACTAGAAGAAATCCTGAAAATACACGGCCACCAGAGCCAACCGAAAATCTAAAAGAAGTCTTGAAAATACACGGGCACCAAGGCTTGAAAAGCCCCAAAGCTGCTCAGGCACTAGGATGCGAAGCTAAAGCCTTCACACTACCCTCATAAATTATATTATTATATGAAATATGACTAACCATCTTTTGCAACATGTAGAAAGCCACTGCCTTTTTTAGCCTAAAAAAACCTCATAGCAAGTTGAGTATTTGATGAAGCTACAACACTCAAATTAAGTACATGAAAATGCACCCTCCCAACTTAGGCGCATTCTCGCGTGACTTCTCCGTCCTTCGGCAAAAGGAACTTCACGACATCTTCGGTGCCTCCGCCAACACTTCAACATGAGGGACTACACCGTATCAACATCTTTGGTGTCTACACCAACATCGCCTTCTCCAACACTTTGGCAGGAGCAGCTTTGCCAACACCTTCAGCGAATAAACAATGATTCGCCTCCGCCAAACACTTTGGCGGGAGGGGCTTTGCCACATCTTTGACTTCTACACCAACATAGTTTCCAACAACACTTTTTTAGGAGGGTCTTCACCATCATATCCGGCAAACCACAATGACTCGTCTATAACAACATTTCGACAAGAGGGGCTTCGTCATCATCTTTGTCCATTGTAATGAATCGAGAGCCTTCGTCAACACCTTCGACATCAAAACCTGTGATGACCGGCCTTCATTGCCTTGCTTGAAGGGTTATGTCAAGTTGTCGGGGTTATGACCCTATGGTGACTCAAGGCACCGATTAGTTGGCAGGCCACGTGGCCGGCGACTCATCGGATTAACAATGACCCAAATGATCGAGGCCCAACTAGGACGAGCATGCCAAACCAACGCCTAGCCACGACCCCTTCTCCTACCTCAGCCACACGGAAGATGCGCGACCTCTCTCTCATCACGACCCCCGGGTAGGATAGGGAGAGGTCAAGCATAGCTTAGGATGCTTGCTCTGATAGGAGTAGGTGTGCCACGCTGACCCCACAGGGACCGGTGTGACAACGATCACCTCGGTCCAGTCAGACACCATCCCTATGCCACGCCGCTCCAACAAGACAACACCGCATAGCGGTGGCAACGGGCATGAAACCCACCGTCCGAATACGGACCGACAAGACGCGCCTACGATCCCACCTACTACGGGATGGGGATCCATGACAAGGGTCACGACCTAGAGACCTCCTCGGCAGGCGGGGCGCCCTGACCCTAATGATCGGGGTCGTGGCCCTTAGCCCCACGAAGCGACAAGGCAAGCAACGACCTAGGGCGGCTACCTACTATGGGTACGACACCCTGGGGAACCTGGAGACAACGGCAAAGACCATGACGGATGCCGTGTTGCGCAGGACAGCTGACTAACTATCACCATGGCTACAATGCTGCCACGATCAGCACAATAGCACCACGTTAGATCTTGCCGCGACGTGGCCATAAGACCATGACGATAGCCATGCCCGGGCGAACACCAGAAGACGGCGTAGCTTTCAAGCCAAGTTAGATAGGACCACCCTTAGGCTCATGACCCTTTGGTCGGGAGAACCTTCTCTTTGTAACAAGCCCTAGCCTCGAACTCTATATAAGGGAAGCCAGGACACCCATCATGGGGGAGATCTGACATTTTTTCCATCCTCTACCATTCACCATAGCAGTACGGCTCCTAGAGCTTCTCTTCGGGCTGCCATTCACCTAGCATAGGTTCTAATACCTCTAGTCCCCGTTGTGTCGATCAACATTTGGTGGTTCGGCGGCTAAGAGGTGTTGCACGAACCTCGTCCACACGATAGGACACCGCAAGAACCTACCCACAAGTGAGGTAACTCAATGACATGTGCAATCCACTAGAGTTATCTTTCGGTGCTCCGCCGAGGAAGGCACAAGACCCCTCACAATCACCATGATCGGAGCTAGAGACAATCACCAACCTCCGCTCAATGATCCTCGCTGCTCCAAGCCATCTAGGTGGCGGCAACCACCAAGAGTAACAAGTGAATCCCGCAGCAAAACATGAATGCCAAGTGCCTCTAGATGCAATCACTCAAGCAATGCATTTGGATTCTCTCCCAATCTCACAATGATGATGGATCAATGATGGAGATGAGTGGGAGGGCTTTGGCTAATCTCACAAGGTTGCTATGTCAATGCAAATGGCCAAGAGAGTAAGCTTGAGCCGGCCATGGGGCTTAAATAGAAGACCCCACGAAATAGAGCTGTTGGGCTCCTCACTGCACTGAACACGGGCCGACCAAATGCTCCGGTCATATTAACCGGACGCTGGACCTCAGCGTCCGATCGTGTGATGTGCGCCACGTGTCATCGGCTTCAAACGCCGATCGCCCGATTTCAACGGTCAAGTGATGACTGGACGCGTCAGTTAGAAAGTGATCGAGCGCTGGATCTCAACATCCGGTCATTTTTAGTAAGGTTCCAAACGCGACATTTCACGACCGGACGCGTCCGGTCATGCCTGATCGGACTCACCCAGCGTCCGGTCACACAACTTCTCCTTTGTGCGCCTCACATCAGCGTACGTCAGCACTGACCGGACGCACCCTGCCAGCGTCCGATCGAAGACCGAAACATGCGCCCTCTGCTGCCACTGACCGGACGCTCCGGTTCAACCGAAACCAGCATCCGGTCACTTACAGTGACCTTCGTCTGCTCTGTCTAGGGCGCCGGTGGCACCGTCGGACTGTCCGCACTCTACGGGCGGACACTCCGCCGGTGAAGTTTCTAACCCTTGTTCAAATGTGCCAACCACCAAGTGTATCACCTTGTGCATGTGTTAGCATATTTTCACAAATGTTTTCAAGGGTGTTAGCACTCCACTAGATCCTAAATGCATATGCAATGAGTTAGAGCATCTAGTGGCACTTTGATAACCGCATTTCAATACGAGTTTTACTCCTCTTAATAGTATGGCTATCTAACCTAAATGTGATCACACTCGCTAAGTATCTTGATCACTGAAACAAAATGGCTCCTACTATTTATACCTTTGCCTTGAGCCTTTTGTTTTTCTCTTTCTTCTTTTCCAAGTTTAAGCATTTGATCATCACCATGCCATCAACATCATCATGATCTTCGCCATTGCTTCATCACTTGGAGTAGTGCTACCTATCTCATAATCACTTTGATAAACTAGGTTAGCACTTAGGGTTTCATCAATTAACCAAAACCAAACTAGAGCTTTCAACGGGGTCATCGCTAGACGACGGGTTATGCCCCTCGGCATGATCACTTTGTTTGTCACGTTTGGTAATCAGGTACACTACCACAAGGAGACACTCTCCTTTGAAGTCGTAAACTTTGAGGGTCCTTACAACGTTATCCTTGGGAGACCCTGCTATGCCAAATTCATGG